AGGGAAGGGGCAGAGAGAGGGAGACACAGAATGTGAAGCAGGCTCCAGGCTCTGCGCTGTCAGCACAGAGCCCGACACAGGGCACAAACCCACAAACTGCGAGATCATGACCTGAGCCAAAGTTGGAAGCTTAACTGACTGAGCCACCCAGGTGCCCCTTTACTGGTACATTTTTAACTACTGTTCTTCTGCACCATTATTCCGAATGTCCTCACAATGAAAGAGGCACACAACTTAATATTACGATAATGGTTTGACATTTTGGATCTCTAATAGGACCATTTAGGAGCTGACCCTTGGGCACACAGATTACATTTTAACAACTTCTGACATAGACTAACCTTAATGCAGAATATTCTTGCCCCTACTGGGGAGTCAAACTATGAATAATGCTAGTGATATGGAAAGGATTCTGCCTTTGAATTATAAGTATGTTTTAGCTGTTGGCTTTGCTTCAAATCTCCTGTGTGATCTTTAGCAGTGGACTCACCTGTACTTTCTTTTTTTAATGTTTATTCATTTAGAGAAAGAAAGAAAGCACCTGCATGTGCCTGAGTGAGTGTGGGAGGGGCAGAGAGAGAATCCCAAGCAGGCTCTGTGCTGTCAGCGCAGAGCCTGACTCGGGGCTTGATCTTACTAGCTGTGAGATTATGACCTGAGCCAGAATCAATAGTTGGCGCTTAAATGACAGAACCACATAGGCGTGTCTCTAACCTGTGTTGTTACTATAACAGCTAACATCTGCTATGTATTTACTTTATGCCAAGCACTGTGCTTTATAGTACCATTTTTCTTTACTATCCCCTTGTGAGCTGTAGGTTATATTATTAGTCCCATTTCACAGATGGTAATACAGTGATGGCTCAAATTATTCACTCAAGATCGGCATTGTTTAACAGCAATCGGTTTAACACAGACTTTTTGGTTTCTGTATTGTTGTTAACGACCAAGCTGTTTTGATTCTCTGAAATGAGCCATTTTGGTTGGAAAGTGGTTGATCGAGGGCAGAATTATAAGCATCTCAGTGATTACAGGATTTTGTTTGTGTCCCTGTTGCTACCATTAAATCTTGGGCCTCTCCTCATCTCTTGATTAAGCTATTTCTTGATCTATCTCTATTTCTTGCATTGGAAAGTTTCCTTTCTCTGTTACTGATAGGTAGATTTTGTGACATTTCTATTGCCTTTGGTACTGATTTTATTTCTGTGCTTGTATTGTTGATCATATACACTTCAGGAACCTAAAGTTCACATTGTCTTATAAACAGCAATAAATGTTATCAGTGATAATGAAACATTCAGGATACTGAGGTTGAAAAAGATTATGATTCATATATTTGTTAAATATTATCTAAATACTTTAGCGAGACCTTTCTATTCTGATAAAATGACATCTTATTATCTGTTAATTCTCTTAACACTTCAATAAACCTAGAGGAGAGTTTTGAATACTTTTTCATTAATATTAAAATGTCATTCAGTTATGGAATTCAGAATTGAACAGTGAAGTAGTTTGCCAAAATATGAAATAAAAACTTAAATCTTTGTGTCATTATCTAGTATATTTTAGTATCATCTGGGATGCTGCAGAAGTACTATCATAATTTCATTATGCTTAAGTATCTCTCTAAAGGTGTGTTGGCATACACGTGTATAGACTTTCAGAGAATATTTGCATATGAGTGACATCCTGAAATTGACTCTACAGTCCTTGCTGAGTGCCTTGTTTTAGAGAAGGGAATTTCTTTGAGTTGCTTAAGGAAAGAGTTGAATTTTTCCTGGAGGAGTAATTAAATAATTCTAAAATTTTTAAGTGAACAGTTATTATATTCAGAGCCTTCAGTTTGGTAGAAGGAGTATTCAAATTTAAGGTTTTAGTTTTATCTAAGATTGGGGTTTAGATGCTAAGTTAAGTATTTTAATTTGGATTAATTCCCACATTTGTTAGAAATACAAGTATGTATTTGTCATGATTTTAAAGAACTAAAGCTGGTAAAGGAACTTCTTTCATACATTATATGGTTTTTCATACAGTGTGAGTTTTTACTTTTTTCTGTTGATCTTTGTGCTCGCTTTGGCAGCACATATACTATTGATCTTAAACTTTTATCTGTTTTGAACCCAGATGTATTTGACTATCTGCATTAATGTATTCTCCCCCAGATTTTCAATATTCTTGATTGTTTTTCTATGTATTTTGAGTTTTTCACTACTCATTTTAAAAATAGAAGTAACAAGTTAATATTGTAGAGGTGAAATTCATGTAACATATAATTAACCATTTTATTTTATTTTATTTATTTTTAATATGAAATTTATTGTCAAATTGGTTTCCATACAACACCCAGTGTTCATCCCAACAGGTGCCCTCCTTAATGCCCATCACCCACCGGGAGCTCCCCTCCCTCCCACTCCCTATCAACCCTCAGATTATTCTCTGTTTTTAAGAGTCTCTTATGGTTTGGCTGCCTCCCTCTCTATCTTTTTTTTTTTTTTTT